GTTAGCCTTGTTGATTTCTGATGTAACTCAAGTATTTCGTGTTGATAGCGCCTCCCTGCATGGAGTGTGGCTGGCCACCAGACTGGCTAATAAAGGCTTACTAAATTCTAATCTGTTCTGGTGTTAGTCTCTATTCAATTTGAACCTGGTACACACCTGCCTAAGCTTGCCTAAGTAGGTACTTTAGACTAATGAGCTATCTCGCTGGCCCCTGTGTTGATTATTCTTAACACTGACAAAAATGAAAGACCATAAACTCAAATACTGTGTATGTGCATATCTATGTCTTATATATGTATGCATGAAAATCTTTACCTTAATCCACAAAATGGTGTTTTTCCAAAATGCTTTGGAAATCAGACAACAATTTAATGTCAAGAAAATGCACTGTTGGGGCTGGGGAGATAGCTCAGTAGAATCAGCAAGTGCAGGGTCCTGAGTTCAGTCCCTGGTACCACAAAAAAAAAAAATGCACTGTTAAAATACATTGTAAAAAATACATGTTATTACATTATTTAAAAGATTCCTTAAAATGAAATTGATCATTAAAAGCAACAATAATGTGTCTGCTTAGGCAAGTGCAGGGGCTGGTGTTCTATCCCCAGCACCACATGCTGTGCCAGCCCCACCCCTGGGAGTGCTGAGCCTGTGACCAAGTCCGAGCCTGGTGGCACACACCTCTGATCTCAGTGCTGGGGAGGCTGAAAACAGGAGGATCACTACAAGTCCAAGCTGCATTAAAAAAATTAAAAAATAAAAGTAACAATAATGATAATAACTTTTATACAAATGGTTGCATTTATAAAACATTAGCATTCTCCTCTGATCCATGTAACATATCTAGAAATATGGCCTCCATATTTAAGAACTGAAGAAGGTAAGAGTCAGAAAAGTCAATTTTGCCTGTGGTCACAAAGATAGTAGTTAGTAGTTTCAAAAGAACTGCAAAAGTAAGGTCTGGTGCTCCTGCAGACAGAAGTGACTCAGCATTTCCTACAGTGGCTCAGACATGCCTAGATTTCACTCCTACCCACCTTCAGCCTCCTAACCCCATTAATATTTTGGGCACAGAAAAAAATAAATAATTAAACATAAAAAATAAAAAAAAATATTTTAGGCACAGGCTCCTTCTTGGAACTGTCTGGGCTTTCACTGTCCTTCTTCCTTCTGTTTCCTCTTCTCAACTCAGAATTCTGCCACTGTCAGTCAGAAAGGGATCTGAACATTCTTCACCCATCTTTTTTTTTTTTCAGAACCAGAGATTGAACTCAGGCCCTTGTGCTTGCCAGGCAAGTGCTTATTCTACTGAGCCATATCCCTGGCCCCCTCTTCACCCATCTTATGAAAAGTTATAAAAGTGAACCCAACAGATATTCTCACACATGGACACTAAGATCTACATAAAACAATGTTCACTATGATATAGTTTAAAAGCAAAAAGTGGGAAATAAGTGTCTCCTGGTGAGAGTCTAGTTATACATACAGAATAGCATACCCATTCAGGAGCAAGCCCTATCCCTTGTAAAGAAAGCAAAGGCTAATACATTAATAGAGAGTAAACTCTAAAATGCACTACTGAGTGCAAAGAACAAAGTCCAGAACAAAGTGCACTGCGTGCTACCAAATGGATTAGAAGAGAATCTGCCTGTATGTTTAGGAAGGGACAGGGAAATTCTGGAAGGAGGTAGAAAAACAAAGCTTAGCCAATGGCTACTTTCAGGGGAGGAACCAAGAATCTCAAGTTGAAATGGAGACTTATTTTTTTTTTACTGTACAAGTTTTTGTGCTGCTGCGTTGCTCTTTTGGTAGTTCTTAAAAGTACTTAAAATACCTCTTTCACACCACTCCTGATGACATATGGGAAGTCAGTGACAAGAGCAGTTAAAATGCTTCACTATAAACCAAGGAACATGGGAAAGACAACAATTTATGGGGAACCTGGCCAAGATTCCCAACTGCCTGCATGAGGGGCACAGTGGAATAAGAAATGAAGTTTCTTCTAAGTCTAAGGTTCCTGCCCACAGAAACAGAGGATTGAATTTAACAATCTCACTCACCATTTTAGTTAAGGGACCAGTGCTGACTTGAGCTCCCACTTGTTTAAGCAGCTCACATGAGTTGGACACAGTTCTGCTGCTCTATATGTTGCTTCTGCTACCTTTTTCCAGTTGCGGATATATTTCCCAGAACCAAGTGTCTCATCTTTCACTTCTGTTTAGACTTCCTCAAATTCGTCTCAGGGAGTCCTGTTGCACACAACCTCACACCTCTTCTTTCCACTCAGGTGGCTCTTCCCCTTCAGGCCTAGTCCAAAGGTCCTTGTTTGGGCCAAATACTAGGGACCTGGATAAGATCCCCAACTGCATGCATAAGAAGTAGGATGAAAGATGAAATAAAAAATGGATAGATTTGGGGCCAGTGACATAGCTCAGTGGACTAAGCTCCTGCTTTGGCAAGCATAGGGACCTGGGTTCTATCCCTGGTCCCCCATGCCATGCCAGTCCCACCTCTGGGGTGCACTGAGCAGGCCACCAAGTCCAGGTGTGGTAGCACATGCCTGTAATCCCAGAACTCAGGAAGCTGAAAACAGGAGGATCACTATGAGTCTGAGCTGTGTAGAGACTCTGTACTGAATACATAGAATGAAAAAAAAAAAAAAAAACAACAACAACAACAAAACCAGACAGTTTTAGCAATGTATGATGGAAGGTTGGGAAGTCAGTGCCTGCAGAATGTTATGGGTCTCTCAGAACAGGAACCAGATCATCACGATTGGAATTTGGAAGGCCGTTCATTACTGAGCTCAGGGCCCCTGATCAGCTCTCACGCGGGAGAGGACCGAAAGGTGGCTAGCCCAGGAAGCAGGGGGTGGTTTAAAACCTGGAACCACATTCCGTTTGGTAAACAAATTCATGTCTGATACAGAATAATGCTTTCAGGGTCATTGTGACCACTACCCAAACTAAATTTCCTGGGGCTTTGTTTTAGTTTCTGGTTATCTTGCCCCCGAGTACCTGCAGGCAGCCTTGCATAGCCCGGAGGTTTCAAGAAGTTAAAGTTTAGTTTAACTTATTTTAACATTTAGTTTTCTTTTGAAGTCATCTCTATACAGGAGTCGGTGAGGGTTACAGGAATTGGTGAGGATTACAGGAATTTTATCTTAGCAAACAGCAAGAAACAGCCACTAGTTACTAAACAGCTTAGAACAGGAATGAGTATACATTTTTACACAACAGAAAACACAAGATTTACATTTATAGTCTAAAATGTGAATTGACCCATTACACAGATGGGCCATCAGTCAGAAGTCTGTAGGGACTGGGGAATGGGTAGGACTTAGAGGCTGGGTGAGTGGTGAGCCCATGCTGATGAGGACAGCAAGGAGAGGTGGCAGAGCATGGATGTTGTCCTTTCCCAAGGTGAAGCCGTATTTTGCACTACTACTGGGTTCTTCAGGAACCAGGATGTGTTCAGCTGGTACGATCTTGCCTTGGGGCATCACAGCATCACAGGACCATTGAGGGCTCAACTGTGACCAGACACACTCAGAATTATGTTACTGAATGGCCCACAGGGCAAGGCACTAGGCCTTGACAAGCCCTAATCCCAATTTAATTGTGAAATGATTTTTCCCCAACAAGTATATAGAATGGTTCTCAACAAGAATTCATTTAAGATTACTGAGAACATTGTCAGGAGGGCCAATGGGTAAATTTCCAAGAAAAGAATCACGCAGTCAGGATAAGAGATTGGGGTTTTTATATAGGAATAAAAACACCAGGAAGGGTCTGAGTTGGCAAGCTACATACTTTAGAAATGCATTAGGGCATCCTGTTACTGCTAATCTTTCAGGAACACCAGTTTTTTAATTAAAATTATGCATCAAAGTTGCAAGCTATTGAAGAACCTCACTCAGGACACACACAAAAAAAATTCTGTAGAGTTAAGTAAGCATAACTATGTTGTAATCTTTTATGGCAGGATATAATAGAAGTGTGGGCAGGGCAAGCAATAAATTTACTTTTATCATATGCTAGTTTTCATGCTTATTAGTGCAGTGCCTCATGACTCTCCAGTATGGGCTGGACAGGAATGTGTTTCAAAGAAGTTTAGATGCTGAGAATTTGGCCTTTTGTCACCACATCACACATAAAACACCCACACTTACCCACAAAAACTTTTCCTCCTCATTGTCACTCTGGGCACAGAATAACCACAGTATCTCTCCCCCAACGGTGGCTGCAGCCCCACCCCTGCTGTGAGATGCACCGCACTGCCTTGTATTCGTGACACTCTGGAGCACCTCTGTGTTACACGTACCCTGCAGCCCGCTTCTGCCTTCCTGCACATGGCCCTGATGGCAGCGAGGCTTCCGCGTGCTGCAACAGACACTTCCAAGCCTTGGGCAGCGTGTCACTCCCAGCAGGATCTCAGCTGCTACTTGCTTGTTGCCTCATTGCATGGACAGTTATCTCCGTGAAGTGTTATTGTGCAAGCTCAGCAGTCGGACACATGGTGTAGTAATGTACATAGCACACTTCAGAATGCAGCATCCCCAAGCCCTTGAGCGCCCAGGGCTCCGTCTGCTCCTTTAAATACACCTGGCCAGGTCGAGACCCATACAACACATGACACCTGAAAGGCCCACAGCAGTCGGTGGTTGATGTCTACTGGGTCTAGGGCTCATCTGGACAGCTTCTACCCCATCGCTTCTGGGTGCCTCTGTTCACCAAAGCCCTTGACTCTGCAACTCAGTTCAGGACCCCGAATATTGATTTCACCCTTGGCACTTGATTTTAAGTGTGGTGTGCCCACACTTCTCTCTAGGGGGATGCCAGCCTGACCAGTATCTAAGAGAAGAATTAACAGGCATGACATGAGCAGGAGTGTGGCTCTGCAGCTCACCGTGAGGATGTATGACCCCTGGTATCTGTGAAAAACATTAGGGACCCCAGAAAGCCAGGCCCCTCTCTGGAAGAATTAAGCAGATGTGTTTATAAATGGCCCACAAGTACCCTCTGGGTGCTACAGAGAGTAAAAATGCTGAGTATAGAGAAGACAAATTTAATTCAAAGGATTTAGAGAGCCTTTGTATAATACCAAAGTTTTTTTTTTCTTTTTATTAAATGCAGATGTTCAGTGCAGGGTGGGATCAACTGAAGAAGTGAGCTCTTAACAGTATCACCAGCTGGGGTCTCTGGTAGACCCTTCCCAACACCCCATCACCCCTTTTTTCCTTTCAGGGCTCAGTCACCTCAGCCATGCTCCCCAGGGCCTTGCTAGGGCGGCTGGGCTGAAGAGCAGCAGACGCAGCACAGAATCGGTCTCCAATTGCCTCTTCCTTGGCACGAAATGGTCTGAGTCCTCTGTCCAGGTGGCAGAACTAAAACAGGATGTAGTCTCTAAAAGAACCTCTTCTTTGGTAAAAAAAAAAAAAAAAAAAAAGGTACTTACTTCAGAATGTGGCCTGTCCTCACTTCTCCCTAGGAGGAAGCCAACCTGGCCAGTCGCCAGGAGAGGAAGGCTCAGTAGTGAGACTTTGTAAGTCCAACACGCTACCACAGACACAGCTAGTTTCACCTCCCAATTACAGGACTCTGTGGGCTCGGGCTCGGGATGATTTTCCCATTCAAAGAAGATATTGGCTTGTACCACCACCTCCCCTCACTCCTCCCACCTACTCTTGTGAGCAACTGGCCAGATCAATCTATGAGATCAGGGTGGGGCGTTTTCTCCTTGCATTCGAGTAACGCTGTGCTGTGAGAACCCACCAGCCAGCCCATAGCTCCACTTTTCTCGGCTCTTGCTTTGGCAAGAGCAGCACCTAGAAATGCACTCAGCCCAGCAAGGAGGGAACACAAGAAAAAGATTTCAAAACGAAGGCGTGGGCATCTGCAGTTACAGAACATGTTAGAGGTTCCAAGCACTCGGAATACAGCCCACCCACCATGCTGTTCTTGTTTGGTCTGCAAGTTGAGAGATATTATTTAACAACCTTGCTCTTGCAGTGGCTGTTCAAAATCATTTTCAGAACAAAGTAGAAGCTGTGAATAAACATCAAGGTCCCCTGTAGACCAAGAGCAGGGCCACCCTCAGGCAGTGCCATCCATCATGCTGATCCCCAGAGCAGATGCTCACACGGAAGAGGGGTGAGGATGGCAGCAGCAGCTAGTAGTGAACTTCAAAGTTCTCCAGCTCTCTGCGGCTCAGCCGGGCAGGGTTACAGGCTTTATGTGGTCTGCTCCCAACCTGCAGAAGAAAAGGGGTATTTTTCCCTAGATCCTTTTTTTTTTTTTTTTTTTAATTTTAGAGAAGGGTCTACAGGGAGTTCAGGGTCTCATACTAGATCAGATTCATAGTGATCCACCAGTTTACAGCCTCCCAAGAGTTGGGATTACAGGAGTGCGCCACCATACCCAATCTCAATTGCTGTCTCAGCGTGCCCCAGGGGAAGGGCCAGCAAGGCAGGCCCAGGGATCAAACCCCTGGCCCCTGCAGGTTCCCTAGATCTTTACAAATGTGTATTTCTGCTGGCCTATGGAAAGGAGAAGTTAATGCTTAATTTTTTTCATTTTTTCCTCTTTCTTCTTAATTTCTTATGACTTTCCTTTTCTTCTCTCTTTTTCCAATTTTGCATGCAAATACTTGGTAATCTGAACAACTTAGTTGAAGACAGCACTATGCAATACAACAAACACTGCCAAACTCATATTATTTTGTTTAGTGAAATTCTGTACCATTTCTATTTTTTTATTACTATTTTGTATCTCTCTAAAAACCTGAAAAATGGAGTCTGGGCATGGAGGTGCATGCCTGTAATCCCAGCACTAGGGAAGCAAAAAACAGGAGGATTACTACCAAGTCCAAGCTGTGTAGTCAGACATTGCACAAAATAACAATAATAATAATGATAATAATCCTATTAGGTATGGATTTTTTAGGGATGGATTATCTCCATCTCACATATTTAAAAAATCAAGTTCAGAGCATAAAACAAATTACTCAAGGTTAACAACTAGTATGAATTAAAGGAGGAACTTAGATCCAGTTCTTCTTGCTCAATTCCAGTGCTGTTTCAATTGCATTATGCTTCGTCACAGACCCTCACATAGATGCGGCCCACACAGGGTCCTCAACAACTCTGCACTGTCCAGTTAGCTTTAATATTGGGTTATAGCTAAAGGACCAGCATCCCATGAGGCACCAGGATTCCCAGGGAGCACCCACCCATTGTCATACTTGAGACAAAGACACCATCTGTATGGCTAATGGGTCCAGGTGCACTCCATGCCTTAACTACCCAGATATAAATGGAAAGCATAGGAGCAGAAGGTGTAGCTCCATGGTAGAATGCTTGCCTAGTACGCACAAGGTCCTGAGTTCACTTCCCAGTGAGAGGTAGAGAGAATAAATTTTACCTGCCTTAGAACATTTTGTCAACATCAAATAAGATAATTCATGTGACAATAGTGTCAAGATGCCTTATACCTCCAATAACACACTTCCAATAGTACACCTCCAATAGATTTTGAGCCCCCCTTGTTCCCTCCTTAAATGAGTTGATGGGAATCAATGCAGCTGCCAGGTTCAATGGTCACCTCCCAACAATGGTTACCTCAGCAGAAGCTTACACCTAAAACTGGCTCCTAAAGACTTTGTAATTTTCAAAAATTGCTTAGAATTACTTATTTTCCCCTCTCTGACCCTGTACTATCCCACATACACCTTTTAAAAGATAGAGTTTGTAGCCTGAGTCATAGCCTGAAAACTAGCTTGGGAACATCCTTAATTTGGAACCAAATCTGCCCAATAAAAGTTAAACTTGAATACATAATATGATCTTGGGTTAGACCTTCAATTTGGGGGGCCTCAGTGTCTAAACTCTAAAGTGAATATTCAGATAGAGAATGCCTAAACTCTTTACAACTCTGAGACAATATGATGGCTTTCTCATGAGGATATCCTTCAAGGCTGTGCTGCAGAAACTAACCCACTCAGAAGAGTTCCAGAACCTTACCTGATCGTAGATGGTGCAAATGGGGGAAGGATCTTGGTTCCTCTTCTTGCATTTAGTCTAGAGAGCAAAGAATGATTAATTTCAAGAAAGAGATATCCTACTCCTAGCTGATAAGCAAGGTCACGAAAGAGACTTTGGCCCCAGAAAGCCCCCTGAGGTTGCCCTGTCCAGAAAGTAAAAAGAATCTACCCAGGAGCGACCCACAGTGTTTATAATCTCCAGGAAGAACAACATGCACTGACGCTGTCATAGCAATGTACATACGACATGACATCTCTGGATGAATGGCAGAGATTAGTATCCCATGGGCACACACCCTAAAGCCCACACAAATATACATTCCTAGTACACAAGCATACTTACACATACATGCACATATACACTTACACACACAGCCCTCAGACAACCCTAACGCAAATACTGCCCTAAAACATGTACCTCTTCAGCACACACTCACCTAATACACACAATTCTGGTGCCCTACATAGTGCCAACCCTAGCACATTCCTGAACAAAGTGGCTGCGTGAATTACTTGAACTAAGAAGACTCTCAATGATACATAGAATTTTCATAATGCAATACTAAAGCATGAAAAGATAAAAATCTCTCATGGTGTTTTTTTGTTTGTTTGTTTTGTTTTGTTTTGTTTTGTTTGTGGTATCTGGGATTGAACTCAGGACCCTATGCTTGCCAGGCAAGCACTTATTCTACTGAGCTATCTCCCTGGCCCTCACAGTGGTTTCTGATAGACAGGAAAGCTATGAGCCCAACTTGGAGTAGGATTTAAGTGGATCATGGTATCTGCCTCAGTCCAGAGGCCTAGAAGATGAGAATAGCGAGAATCTTGAAACCTGAAAACACTGTGTTTTTCTAGTTCAATCTATTCCTTCATGTCCAAAAAATAAACCTCTGCCTTGGAAATCCCTCAAGGACCCTCAAGTGGTCAGTTACGGATCTCAGGGTCACACACACACACACACACACACTACACCCCCCACCTCCTTTCTGTCCTTGTCCTTTGCTTCCCCTTTGTTCTTTTTTAGAAAGTCCTAGGAATGCTTAATACACTGTTTTCTGAGTCTCAAAACTGTCTTTGTCTCTAGCTAGAACTAGAAGATCACTTCTACAATTTCAGACAGTACCATTTAAATATCATCCTGAAGAAAGAGGTGTACTAACAGTGTTTGGGCAGAATATCCTGTCTGCCTCTTGTACTATGGATAACCACTAAGAAGATAACAATGTACAGTGTATTGATTATCAAAACTGTCCTATTAATCAGCTGTGAAACTGTCTCTTTCATGTTTATTTCTCAATAAAAAATAAATATATATAAAAAAAACTTAAAGTTATGAAGAAAAGTCAAAACTTAAGACACTGGAAATCTAAAATATGGGAATACATAGCTAATTCAATCTTCATATTATCTTTATTGTTAAACTAATTAAAGCAAGTTTTCTTATACAAAAAATAAATAAATAAATGTCATCCTTCCACAGCAGCTAGTGAGGTACAAATCAGGGCGGACAAAGTATGCTTACACTCTGAACACACACACTGCACCCACGCCTGCCTATGCACATGCCAGGCACACAGCTGCACCCATGGTGCCCCCCAAAAGGAGACTCACCTTCTGGGAACCTCGTATTACTGAATATAAAGTAAGATCAGTTTCTTGTGAGGGTTGTGATGTAAAAGCAGAATACTAATGAGGAGGGGAAAAAAAAAAAAAAGCTTTTCAGAAGCATTGATCCAGGATAGCCTTAGAGTCCAGTTCTTCTGTCCCTCACCTCAGCCCTGCCTGGGCAGAAGCTTGAGGTCTTAATTAAAAGAATCCTGGATGTGCTCAGCAGCCCACCAACATGAATGCTAGTCCTGCTCTGTTATTACTGGTCATTGCCATTTGTCAAGCATTTGTTTTCTATGTATGGTCTCCCCTTACCCATAAATGACTCCTATAAGATAGGGGTGACTATAATTTGTCCCCCGCCACAGATAAGGCTACAAAAGAGTGAAAAGCTCAAGTCAGTGGGTACACCCTTCCAAGCCCAAGAGTCTTCAGGGCTTTAGCTTCAACACCTCAGTGCCTCCCTTTGGCAACGTATTTTCCTTCTCTGGACCTGAGTGAGGTATCCTCCAGGCCAGGTAATCCTCCTCCTTTTCTTTAATTTTTATTTTTGTTGGTATATGTTTGCCATGGATAATAATTATATTCATCAATGGGAGTTGGTCCATATATACAACATATCATAATTCTTATTACACTCCCTTCCCTCCCTTCCTTCCCATCTCCCGCCATCTCTTGATCCTCTTCCCATTTTCAAAAGACCAACTTTCCTGTTTCTTATTATCTATCTTTTTTTAATGTATGTGGTACAGAGTCTCACTATGCAGCTCAGACTCATAGTGATCCTCCTGTTTTCAGCCTCCTCAGTGCTGGGATTACAGGCATGCTCCACCGCACCGAGTTCTCGGTGACCAGCTTAGTGCACCCCGGGGTAGGGCCTGCATGGCCTGTGGTACTGGAGATCAAGCCCCGGCCCCTGCGCTTGCCTAAGCAGGCACTTAGTCCACTGAGCTTTCTCACTGATCTCTATCATCTACCTTTTACTTGCTTTTTAATTCATTTATACTTTGGGTTTCTCATATAAGAGAAATGATACAATATTTAAACTAGTGTATCTGATATATTTCACTTAACATTGTGATCACAAGCTATCTATTTTCTATGCAAATCACAGTGTCACTGAGATTCCATCCGACTCTAGAACGAATGACTATCGAGAAACCCTCCTTCCAAGATGCTCCAGGGGAGGAGCTCCATTCCCATCAGCACTACCGTCAGACAGACGCTGCCCCTTGGGTTTATTCAAATTCCTTCCCTTTCAATTTCCTTTAACCTTTCTCAAACCAAAGACCTGGATGATGTCAATCACTGTTATAATGGATTTTCTTTGCCCCACAGCTTAGCCACCAAGCAAACGTGGCTGCTTGAACCTTAATTTTTTATTTTTCTGTATTTAGGACAGAGTTTACAGGTATCATACAGCTCATATTATTCCATTGCTAGGATGAGCAAAAAGACAAAGGAAAACTTTCTTCATTCCCAAAGGAAGCTGTCTGTCTATTCTATGAGGCCCAGAAGCCTCACTCATGTGACCAGAGCAGAGGAAACCCCATACGTGCATCGTCCAGCCAAGCACCACTCATGGTGGTGAAAAGACACTTCCTTCCTGTGGCACAACTCCTCACACCCGCAGTTCTGTATTGCTTGACCCACCAGGGATTTTCCCAGGTCTATTATCACATCCTGCCCTGGTCAGGGGCATAGAACTGGGGGCATCCAAGCCCCTCTGCAGCTTCCTCCTCTTTTTGCAGAGAGCTGATGAGAAGGGTTCCCCGATGTCACCACTCTGGCTCCTGGCTTCCTTTCAAACTACTTCTCTTTCTAGCGCCTCAGCTAGACTTGAGCTGTAAGCACAGGCAGGGAACCAGCTACAAGCACAGGCCAGGGAGCTAGCTACACATCACCATGCTTTGGCTGGCTACTCTCCTCAGTAATGATTATGGGACCCATGAAAGTCAGGTTTTATCTGCTAAGAAAATGAGAATTTGGGCTCAAGCACAAAAAATATGAGAAGGTTACACTTCTCCTGGCACTCGGCCTAGCTGACAAGATGAAGCAAAACCGAGGAAGCCATGGTGCAATCTGGGGGGCAGCAACAGCGTTCCTCCCTCTGCTGAGCACCACCATTCATTGTCCCTTCTTGGTAGGCTCAGTTCTGAACCCTTTTGCCTCCCTTTTATTTTCTCCACCTCCTTTCCTTTTCCCTTTTCCTATGTGGCCAGAGCTAAGAAAAAGATGGGGAAAAAAGAGATAAGCAAGCACTGAGGATCACTTTGAAAGGGTATCTGTTCAGTTCTCTTTGCCCCCCTACTCTTAATGACCATCCTCCAAACAGCATTTTCCAAGCCAGCAGAGAGAACCCAACCCCTAGCGTGCCCTACTTGATTCCTCCTGACTTCCTTGATGTCTTCGTACACTGTCAGATGTTCTGAAGGGCTGGGCTCTGTAGGGGGAAGAAAGCAAAAATCAGTTGTAGAAGCCTCCAAAGGGCCTGCTGTGCGGGTTTCCACTTCCGATGGGTACCCCCAGCACCCCAGCTGGCCAAGACCTTCAGAGCGGCTCTAGAAAACAGTCGTGTCAGTTCTGTTCCCTTCCCAAAGGGCAGAGTGGAACAACCACCCCTGGCATACTTTATTAAGTGGGCGGTCCCCAACCAGACCAGCCATCTGCAGCTAGCTCTGCACACTGGAGATCAGACTGTATCTAGCAGTTGCCAAAGAAAGCAAGAAGGGGGAGAAAGGGCCTTAGAGCCACAGACTGTCATTCCTCAGCTGTGCACATCCATATCCCAACAGTCGCCCAAAAAGGAGGTTCTGTACACCCAGGAACATCCCACTGCCTACAGGTGTCAGCCACTGGACCTGATCCACAAAACGCCCTCAAGGAGATCCCACTTACGTGACTGCTTTCTCTTCCTCTTCCTCTTCCACACACAGAAGCAAGTGAGAGCGCTGAGAATCAGCATGACTACAATCGCAATGACCACCCACAAGGGCCAAAACCTGGATTCTGAGGGCACAGAGGGTACAAGGGCTGAGTTGTCACTCTTTGTCATCTTGCTTCCCACCTGTCAGTGGCAGGGGCTGGCTCTAAACCCACTCTGCTCTCTGGCACAGTTGGTCTCCTCATCCCCTAGCATTCATCCCAAGGTCATCACTCTATTCAGTTGGTTGACTCCATAAGAGTGATGCCAAAAATATGAACATTAATATCTGACAGACCTGGCCCAGATTATAATCTGTCTAAATGGGCAGATTACATGAGCCACTGAAGTTCCTGGTACAGCAAGTGTTCTCTCTACCCATGGTATTTAACTCAATAAATATTCAGTGCACACCCTTCATGTGCCAATCAAGTCTTCTATTTCACCACCGTGGTACCCCACCTTCACTGCTCTTCCTGATTTGAATTTCTACATGTAGTCTCTGTGTCACAGATGGAGCCTGCTGTAGCATCCGACCAACAAGAGGAAAAGGAAAAGAACCCAGCAGTACACGTACTTGCTGAGCAGCTTTTCACAAACCTTGTCTCAGTTCATCTTAGCAGCTAGCCTGCGAGGTACTTCTTGTTATCATGCCCATTTTATACAAGAGAAAAAGATGAAGCCCACGATGGAATCTGCCTGAGATCACAATGATGAACCCATCTTTGTCATGGTCAAAAAGCCAATGCCCTTGTCACTACACACTGCCTTATTTTATGTAGTCCTTTTTTGGACCAGAACTTTGTTTTGCTACCCCAGTGTTACTTCAAGTTTCTTCAGGTCAGTAATTGCATAACGTTTTAGGTCTTTTCTTCCAATAAAGTCCACACTGGTGGCACATTAAGTCTTTAACTAGCTATCTTTTAAAAAAAATACAAATTTATCTCAGATATGTCTCTTGATAAAGCAATCAACCCATCATGGTACAAAAACAAAAGAAAGAAAAAAAAAGACAAGCAATGAACACAGAACTCATCTAGTGAGTCTGTGATTCTCTTGAGGCTCCCGATGAGTCACGTACTGTTGTGTGGAGTCACCAGCTCCTGACAACTGCATGGCTCCTGGTAAGTTACGGGTCAGGAGGAGGAAGCAGGTCAGGTCAGGTCTCTAAAGAAAAACCTAATGGTCAGAAGCCTTTGCAAGACTCACCAAAAAACAGTGCTTTCCAGATGTGGAGGGCAATGCGTGCCCCTAGAAGGAGATAGAGATGCAATATAGTCCTTTACACATTTGTCTTTGTAAAAACTATGTGCCCAGAGCCAGGCCATTGCTGAGGAAGGGCTAGAAGGCACCAAGAAAGGAGGCCAAGGGATCTCATAGCAAGGTCTGTCCTGCACAGGAGCCTGTGGGTAGGGTCCACGGCCCTCAGCTCTCAGTAGAGCCAAAGCGCACCACTCACCCAGACAGCCCTGCGTGAGCCTGAGACTTTCAGTTGCCCAGCTGGCAGCATTGCTGACATTGCAGGTATACGTGTTCTGCTCATTAGCATCAATCTGCACCACCAGCTGGGAAAGGTTCCCCGATGTCAGGATCAAATTGCTGTCTCTGTACCAAGCATAGCTCACATGGTCATTCCTGGAGGCCAAGCAGGACAGAAAAGCTTGACATTTTCCTTCATCTATGACCTTTCTCTCTACATGCAGGTGGGGCTTCTCTACATGATCTGGAAGCAGAGACTCTGATCAGCAAACTTGTGGATATATAAGTCCTACACAATCAGAATGGCAGCATGAACAGTCCTGGGAGACTTACCAACTATGAGGACCTCGAACTGGATACAAAAAACTGTCCCATTCTCATCGGTTATCTCCACTTTGTAGAGACCACTGTACTCTGGCTTTGCTGCCATGATGAGAAGACTCCAGTTCTCCCTCTTAAACTCAAGTGTACTGTTCAAATAGGGTAAGGAAGGTGGAGAGACCACACTGGGAGCACGCTTCAAACGCAGTATCAGCTTAGTGTCATTGTGTAAGGGCAGCTTCGTCTTCCATTCAACTGTCTGTGGGTTCGTCTGAGTGTTGGGGAGCCGTAGCAAGACAGGCTGTCCAGAGAGGCTGACCACACGATCACCAGAAGAGCATCCTAGGAAAGAGAACCCAGGCTGAAGGTGGCAGCAAAAGTATGAAATCCGAACAAGGCAAGCAGGTGGATGTGAACTCCCTTGTCCTGAGAGGATGGAGACAAGAGAGAGGAGCTCAGAGCCTAAGTGAACCCTGAAGTGTACATCCCTCACCCGCCTTGCCTGCTCTCCAAGCTCTACCCTCTAATCTGAATAAACCAACAGACCAGTGGTAATAATTAGAATCACTTGAGTACTTCCCAAGTGACAAGCAGGTTTCAAAAACTTTTAATGTTTAATTACTTACTTCTGTGAAGGCATAATCCTCATTTTATTGGAGAAGAAGCTGAGTTAGAAAGGACTTAAGTAACTGGCCCATGATGAGCTTGAAATCTAGGCGATTTGGCTTTCCAGGGTATAATTGTAAGTGCAGTGTTATAAACTCCATGTCAGATGTGACTTCCTCCTAGCAGCATTGAGGCAACTACAGGTGGACAGTGGCCAGACCCAGAAGACTAGCTCCACACACACGAGCTTGTGGCCACTCTTCAGAGTAAGATTCACAGTCTTCTCATGTAGCACCTGACACGTGAGACTGTAGGTGTTACTCCTTAGTGCTGGCCAATTTATCAGTGACCTGGAAGCCTGGGCAAAGGTTATTCCCTAAAGTTAGAGTAATTAGAAAAAGAAAACTACACTTCCCACACATACGCCAGCATTTTCTTCTCTAGGGATCAAGATAAGAGTGAAAGAATATTGGGAGATATGGCACACCAGAGTGGCTACGCGTAGTCAGTACAGAAAAATACAAATTCCTCTTGCCCTTTTTTGGCGGAGACACTGTGTCACAGCCCAGTGGATCCAGGAAATGAAAAAGTCAGTGTGCACAGGTTAGGGAGAGTCAGGGAGTTTGGAGGAGAATAATGATCCCAATGGCTCCATTAAAATGGCAAGCATTAGAGGGACAGCGAGGGAGACAGAGCAAGATGCGATCCTCTCCCCACAAGCAGTCCAGTGTGAGCAGCCATTTATGGGCCACACTGCTCTCACAAGAACTGAGAAAATCAGCTGAGAGGCTTTAGTGCCTGGTTATGGAAAAATAAAAAGATGTACTGAAGAAGGCAGAGAAGGAGTTGTCTGTGTCTTTGCTCCCCAGGTTCCAGCAGCCCAGTGTGGAGAAAGGCATCTCCTGCTTGGGAAGCTGAGCAAATTAAATCCAGGCCTTAGACATGAAACTCGGCACTATGGCTGCCAGAGTGAAGCCTGCATCCTGGCACAGAGTGCATGCAGAGCCCTCTCAGCATCCAAGCCACGCTGCCCCAGATTCACCCCAGCAGCCAAGCATTCAGGCTTAATTGAAATGTTGGCACTTCACGGTAAGTCAGCACGTCTTTAGTTGCAGTCTGGGCACTCAGTGTCTAAAAAGTTCATCATCAGACCAACCTTAGCAGTAGGAGGAGACTGTGCACCAGTGGGACAAACTCATGTTTCAGCACCACTTGTAACTTAGTCCTCTGTGCATCCCTGAGGCTGAGAAACTCAAGCAGGACCTGTGTTAGCATTAGCCCTGGTGGCCACGAATCTGTCGGCACACACTACCCCAACCTTAGGCAGCACAGTGTGGAGTAAGACTCCATTCACTAGGAGTACGACAGGGTAGAAAGCATGGGGCTTCACCTGGAACTTACTGCTAGTCTGGTGAAACCTAACACTGGGAAGATCTGCACAGCCCCCATCCTCCCATGGATGCCTCGGATGGAGCTTCTGGAACTCCAGTGCCAGAGAAGATACATGACCCCAGGCTACTGTCATTCTATTCCAGCTGGCATCACCTGTGGCTGCTCAGTCCTGGCCAATGAGTCCATCTCAGCAATAGGTTCTATTCCTATCCCAGTGCTCCACTGGTCTTGGCAGGCTGTGATCTCAGGATGTGCTTGGGGCATTGGTGTCCATGGGAATGACGGAAGCCTGAGTTGGTGCATCCATGATAACTCTCTACCCAGAGCCAGGCATAATCCTATGGTGCCTGATCACAGGGCAGCAAATGTGGGTGAGGCATCTGGGCCTACCTGACCTTGGGGAGAGGTTTGCAAGAATGACCATTCTGTCTAAATACTTCCTTGAAAAACACACCAACTTAATTTGGACAAACCTAGGATTGGATCACCAATTATCGCTGAAACACTGGCAACACATCACTAGCAGATTCCTGGTGATCTTGGACAAGCCTGCCATCCAGTGCTGAAATAAGTGATTGTAGAATCAGAGAAAATAGCAGCCTGATTAGAATTTCTGAATTGGAAACTGGAAGAAATACCTACTTCTCTAATGCCCAGCAATATCACATGCCAACAAGCAACAGGAACTTTCAGGAAACCACAACTTCATCTCATACTCAAAATAGGGTGTCAGAAACTGACCAGGAAGAAGTCAGTATGAAATAATTCCCAGACCATTTAAAACAACTATTTTAAAGGAACTCAAAGATCTTGAAGACAAAAATAGAAATATTTCAATACTCTGAATATTGAAAGACATGTTTAAGAGATAGAAGCCATTATTAAAAAACCAAACAGAAATCCTTAAACTGATAAATTCAAAGAGCAAAATTAAGACTGTGATAGAAGGTACAAACAGCAGGAGAAGTAAAACAAAAGAAAGAATTGGGAATTCAAAAATACCCTACTTGAAAATACACAAAAGCAAAAGTTAGCACATGGGATTAAATGAAACTGAAAAGCTTTGGCAGAGCAAAGGAATTAGTCAACAGAAGGAAAAACAACCTACAGAATGTGAGAAAATATTTGCAAAGTATTCATCTAATAAGAGATTAATACCCAGAATGTTATTATCCATGAACTCAATAGCAAATAATAATAATTTGAATTAAAAAATCAGAAAATGACCTGAATACACAATTCCCAAAAGAAGATATGCAAATGACCAATATATATATGAAAAAATGATAAACATCACTAATCCTCAGAGAAATTCAAATCGAAACTTCATTGAGATGTAATCTCATCCCAGTAATGAATGTAATGAATATAATCTCATCCCAGAATGACTAAAATAAAGATGACAATAAAATAAAAATGCTAGTGAAGTTGCAGAGAAAGGAGAATTCTCATACATTGTTGGTAGGAATATAAAACATTGCAGCCATTATACAAAACAGTATAGAGTTTTCAAAAAAAACCTAGAGGATGTGGGCAAGATAGTGGCCTAGGGAAGGAAAATTGGTGCCTAGAAGCAGATTTGAAAGGCTGTTTCTCCCACATCTTTTTTCATATCACCTGACAAGCTTCTTCATGTACTATGACAGCAACAGCAGCAGTAAAATGGGCTATACCAAAGGAAGCTCTCTTGAAGCATTTATTTCCAATCCAGAATGGAGCATTATCTCGTGTTTGCTATAAATCCACATATTCTTCTCTTCCAGATGACTATAACTGCAAAGTAGAGCTTGCTTTGACATCTGATGGCAGGACAATAGTATGCTACCACCCCTCTGTGGACATTCCACATGAACACACAAGGGTTATTTCGTAGCCTATGCCTCAACCAAATCCTGTCCATAATATTGAAGAAACATATGATCAAGTGCTGAAAACCAGATTAGAAGAAAATGAAAGTGAAATCCTTGAGCAGGGACCCATGGTAGAACAATTTAGCAAAATGTTCTTTGTGACGAAGCACTGTTGGGTTTGACGAAGTATCCTCGCGGGAAGTATCACAGACGTCATATGAAACTGAATCCACCAAAAGACAGATGGTATTGAGATTCATGAGAGAATCAAAGAGAAATGTTATCAGTGCTTAGTTCGCCACTGGAAGAAATACACTAATACTATATGGTAATAGTCAAATAATAAAAAGTCTTTTCACATACTAAAAAAGTAAAATAAAATAAAAATTTTAGAAACCTAGAAATAAAATTACCATGCTATCCTGTGATTCCCACTACCGGATATCCTAATATGTTAAGGAAATGAAGTCACCATGTCAGAGCCACCTGCCCTTGGATATCTATAGCAAGACTGTTCACAGGAGTCAAGGTATGGAATCAACCTACTTGGCCATCAACTGATGAGTGAATAAAGGCACTATAATACATGGATACAGTGGAAGACTGTGCCACCATAAAAAGAATGAAATTCTTTCATTTACAGCCATATGGATGGAACAGAAGGAAATGAGGCTAAGTGAAAATGGTCAGATACCATAAAACAAGGACCACATACTCTTGTTATATATAGAAGCTAAAAATCTGATCTCATAGAAGTAATGAATAAAATAGTTGCTATCAAAGTATGGGAGGGGCTGGGCATAGGGGAGTGGAAATAGGAGTTCCAATTGAATAGAGAGAATAACTTCTAAAATTCTAACTCACAATCGGCTAACTATAAAAATGAGATTTTTCATGTTATCAACAGAAAGAACAAATGAGGTAACAGCTATATCATTTTCTGACATAGCCTTACCCAAGACATGAATTCATGTATTGAAGTGTCACACTAGACCCATTAATATATGCAATTGTTATGTGTTCACTTTAATAAAAATATTCTAAAGGCCCAGTTAAATAAAAATGCAGCCACTTCAGTCTCCACATGTATAATTATAAACTCAAAATATATGAAACAAAACTTAAAAGAACAAAAAACTTAAAAGAACAAAAAAAAAGTGCACAATCATAGTTGGAAATTTTTGTCTCACACCTCTCTGTGTAACAGATATAAAAAGCAAACAAAAACTCAATAAATATATAACAATTTCGACAACATGATTAGCCAGCTTCGCACAATTAGCACATATAAAACAATACTACCAGCAACTACAGACTACATACTTTTTTTTTTTTTTTTTTTTGGTGGAACCAGGAACAAACTCAGGCCCTTGCCAGGGAAGCGCTTATTCCACTGAGCCATCTCCCCGGCCCTACATACTCTTTTTAAAAGAAAATTCATAATATTTACCAAAATAACTCATATCTGTGCATTAAAACATGCTTCCACAAATT